ATATACTAAATCAGAGGTCGGAAATCTTTTTTGACCAAAGAGCCTTTTTTTAAATCATTTTTTGTTAATGCATTTTTCCAAAAGAGCCACAGTAAAAAATGATGTAATATTATTTTAAAGGGGTCATGAACTGCCTTTGTTTTTGTTTTTTTTACTGTTCTCTGAGGTCCATTTATGATGTTAACACGATTTTTACATAAAAAAAAACATAATTTAGAATTTTCTGTCCTGTTTTGACCCCCTTTTTTTTTGGAAAGCTCCATTTGAATAGGCTTGGCGGATTGTAGACTCGGAAGTCTTAAAACAACAGTGTAGCAATAAGATTATAAGGAATGCTCTTTGTTCTGTGTCCCTACCTGCAGCAAGATTTTTTTGGTCTTCTTTATTTGGTAATATCTCTTGGGTTAAAGCATGGAAACTGCCAAATAAGTTTTGTATCAATAACAAAATTAAGGAAGTGTCTTACAAAATACTTCATCGAATTTATCCTGCTAAGCATGTTTTGGAAAGATTTAAGCTTAATATTTTGTATACCTGTGAATTTCGTGGTCAAGAAAAAGAAACTATTTTGCATCTTTTTTTTCATTGTATTTACTCGAGATTATTTTGGAAGGATTTGGAATTCTATATTAACAGAAAAATAGAGTGTATGATAGAAATGTGTATATTTGATGTACTTTTTTATACAGAAAACGAAAATTTGAATTGTAAAGAACAACATATTATACATTTATTTTGTTAGGAAAATTCCATATACATAAGAAGAAGTGGGCTCAATGTAAACCAAATTTTGCACATTTTATAAATGACTTTAAATTATATGTAAATCTCTTAGAACAATCAAAAAACAAAAATGCATTGAAAACATGTAATGCTCTGAAAGCATTAAACTTTATGTAATTTTCTACCTTTTTTTTTTTTTTTTTCCTCTGGCAGCTAATAATGTTAATTTGATAATGTGAATATGTAATACCTCATGTTCTTGTGGCATTGAATTAATAAAGCATAAAAATAAAAAAAAGACTCGGAAGTCAACGTCCACTGTTATGATTGGCTAATAGTTGTGTATGTTTGACAGCCTACATCCTTCCTAGATGGGCGCTGCTTGTTTTAGGTTAACACATTAATACATATCAAACGATCTGTAATAACAGACAAAGCAATGGTAATCAAGTAATGAAAACAGTTACTCACACTTGTGTGGTGCGACATTACTGTCGGATCCAGTATAGTCGGCACAGCATCATCTTTTAGTTTCCGTCTTTCTGAAAATCTTTTCTGAAAAAGTCTTGCTTGTAAACAAATCTGCAGTAAAATGAAGTGAACAAAGGATTAGGTTCTTACTGACAGGGTCTGGCACTTGATTAAAAATAAAGTTAATCAAATAAAGTTTATTGTTTGGTTTGTGTGTAGAATTTGTCATTTACCTACTACGTGCGTGAGCGGTGGGCGGGGCTAAACAGGCAGAGACGTAGAAGCAAGTGTTGATCATCTTCTGCAAAGGCAGTGTTTAACCACACTATTTATGTCATTAAGTGGCACATTCCAAAACCTGTCGTTTTGGCAGACTGGCTTCAATATAAGATGTTTTTAGACTAATGGGAAAGTTTTGAGTCCTGAAACTTGCAGAATGTTTTGATAGCACAATGACCACTTAGGACTAGGCTATATATCAAAACATCAAGGGAATTTTTATTTCTCAGCTCATGACCCCTTCATGTGTTTGTATTAGTGAGTGAATGAGTGAAGAACAATGCACAGTGCTTACACGGGGCTTACATCAACTGCGTTTATGTGACTACTTACCATTTTGCCCTATTTCTGTTACAAAATGAATCTCTTATTTACATCATGTCTATGCTTTGTTTGTTGTAATGAATGGATTCGCGAGCTTGTACTGGACAAAAAAAAAAAGCCTTTTGAGTCGTGAGTGGATTCTTACTTAAATGCCTCTGATTGGCCATTACCAACAAGAAATCAACACTATAGCTGTGTCCCAATTCAAAGACCGCATCCTTCGGAGGACGGGTCCTTCGAAGGATGCGGCCGACACGGCCTTCGAAGGACGCCCGAGTCTAGCCTTTGCAGAATTTCCTGATTGTGCCAGCAGGTGTTCCCGATTAATGCTCCTGTCGCGTGGCAACGGTGCGAGAAGAGAGCTGCCATCCTGAGTGATTACGTGTAAACACGTAAATAGAAACCTTTGACACTTCTTTTGTTGAAAGAAATTTATTTCTCTTGTTTGTTACTGTTTTTCATATATATATAAAAAAGATGTAACTACAATATTGGTGTATTACTTTATTACATATTGTTGCATCTCTATAGAGAATGAGGAGTTACGTCACGATCTTTTCACTCCGCATTGCATTTCGGGAAGACGTTGCGTTCACATTTTGATCTTATATGCATATCTGCACATAGTATATGCTTTACAATTTTGTCTTTATCACTGTCTTGGTACATTAAGCCACTTTAAGCATTTTAGAAAGCCCCCTGTTCAAGTTCTGCTAATTCACAAGCCTAATGAGAGTGAGAGTCATGCTCGCAAAGAATGTTAACTATTAAACCTACCAAATCAAAACTTTCACAAACACACAGCAATGTGATTCTTTTATTGAGTGAGAGTCAGTGGGTTTAATCAGTGACATTAACTTTACACATAGAAAAGGCGAAAAAAACATATTGCATTGTCCAGTTTTCTCTCAGAACGATGATCTGAGTTACTATTGCAATTATGATGCAGTATGAATGACATTTTTCACAATCACGACAAACAATCAAATACTGCCCTAAACTCAATAGCGGAAAGGCAGCGCTATCCTGCAAGTATGGCGGATAAACAAAGCAGTTTCCCAGAACTCAACGCGGCGTTACGTCACATTCTCATTCTTTATAAACAGATTGTCCAAGAAACCTTTGACACTCCGCAAGAGCGCGAACAACACTGGAGAGCTCTGTTATTACAGCTTCAACTGAGGGTGCTCTTACTTTCATTTAAGCACTGTAAAACAAGACTTGGTTTAGAAAGTGTGTAGGCATTATGCAAATGGATTTTTGTGTGGTTAATTAATTAATTACGTTTTCTAGGCTGAACAATCTTGTTTTGGTGATGTTTTAATGTAGAACGTGGTCTATTTCAGTTATAATATGGGTTATTATTTTGGTGAATGTCTGTTTGTCTGATCATAATAAACAAAATGCTCCTCCCCCACCCAATTCTATATGTTGTGGAGGGGTAATCAAGTCCTTCGCAGGAATTGCATTTAGTGTATGCAACCCACGAAGTCCTAAACACAGACTAGCCAAATGAAGTAAACTTCACTCGACCGTCGGTATTGAACATACCTTTCCGTCCTGCAGTTACAGACACACTGAGCTCGAGACAGAATTCAACTGATATTTGAGACTGAAGACGCGAATCTTTACAACACTTGTCCTCGTGACATCACTGAGAGTATCTATTTGTTTTTGACCATTTAGACGTGTTACAGAAGACAAAGCGCACACAGAAAGCATCCAGTCAGTTTCAGTTCTCTTTTGTGGCTAATTGTGCATTTAATATTTCTTTTTCTTTTTTAATATCAAGCACATTTTTACCTTCTCATTCAGTCATGTTTCTTTATTAATAACTTAACAGTCCCGCCCACTGAAAGCAGTGCCGATTATCATACATAAATAAGACTCATTTATAGCACATTCAGTTCTGTGCAGCAAAAAGTGCAGCGAAAGTACACGGTGAAATGTTTCGAAATGTCTTTTGGCACAGCATAGTTTAAATAAAAGGACACGTTTCCAGCCTGGTGTGGCTCGCGAGCCACAGGTTCCTGACTGCTGTACTAAATGAAACTCCAAAAATACTGTTGGCAGTAATGCAATGCATTGTGAATCATACAAATTTTTAAAATCAATTTAAGACTTTTTATACGTGTGACATTAAATGTGTAATGTCAGATCAGTTGGAGTGAATTCTTAGAAAAGCTTCATTATTACTGTTCACTGCCCACTTTCACTTAATTACTTCTCTAATTAAATCTCTTATATCCCATACAATGGAATAGATTGCATTTCCATTTTATTCAATGGTAATCAAAACTTTTAGGTTACAAACATTATTCAAAATTTCTTCTTTCATATTCCACAGATAAAAGAAGTCCATAAAGGTTTGAAATTACAAAGTTGAGTAAAAAATACTTTTTATTTTTGGGTGATCTATCCCTTTAATATTGTTATTGTAGCTTATAGAAAATCAAAAAAGCACTCCATGTCATGCTATATTATGAATGCAGCCTTTGACAATGGGGTTGCATGCAGACTGTATTTACAAATTAGCACAGGCTCTTATATTTTATTGCTTAAACAAGCAGACCTTCCCCAAACGTCCAGAAAATTTGCCAAATAATTTGACCCATTCTCTGCAAAGTTTTGAATTTGGGCGGCAGCTGTTGTGTCATCGCACATTGAAATCAAACCTTTCCACATGATCATAACCATGAATAAATCTGACTGTGCACTTCCTATTAAGTATTTTGACAGGGCTGTTAATGAGTGTATGGAGTTGTACGCTAAGCTGATTAGAAGCTTATGGGTACAACTATAGCACACGAAGCTGCAGTGTGATGTTAACGATAGCAGGCCTGAGCTACCAATTCATTTCCGAACATAGACCAATAGTACTAATCAAAAACTGAAAACCTTAATGTCATTTCGACATGGTAGTAAATTTACGAATGTAACCTTCATGCAATAGCAGAGAAGAATCACTCAAATGCAAATTTTTACAAATCCCCATTTATTTAATTAATTCAGATTCAATCATATAAACAGACAATGAAATATGTGATGCATTACGAACCATGTTGAATAAAAACAGGAGGAAAGTAGCAATGTAGTACTGTGGTTCTTAGCTCCTTTTTGGCTGTTGGTAAATTCAGACCAGACTTGGTTTTTCCCCCTTATCAAACAGGTTATTACACACAGCATCATAAAACTTAATATGTGCACTGGTGAAGTGCTCTCAAATGCTTTAAAATCATAGTTATCATTTGCACCCCAAACAAGTGCCAAAAAGTAAATTGTTGATTGCAGAAATGGGCCTTGTGCAATTAAATTAAGCGATCCAGTGAGCATGGAAATGTACCAATGAAAAACATACTGAAAAAAAAAAAATAAAATCTGAAATAAAGTAACAGTTGGTTTGGAAGCAGATCATATCCCAGTGCTTTCTAATGAATTTCTGGCTTTATCTCTTTTTCTTTTGGCAAGTTTATTCTCTGAAAGTACCATCCAGTTTTTACGGAATAAAAGAAAACTTCTTGGCTATAAGAAAATGCCCCCCAAAATGACAACCAGAAAAGACAGATGACCATATACTACTTGAAATTATTACATACATTTCTATTTGCACACAGAAACAAAATGGTGTACAATCCATGTATATACTATTGCAATTGGAACAACAATTTACAGGGAAAACATTTGGCATCTAATGTACTGACTCTAATATAGTGTTTCTAACAGTAACCTGACTATTGACTATTTGAGTCCTTCACATTTAACACAACGGGCATTTCCTTATTGCTAAAATCATGAGGCTCTTGCAGATCCAAATTCTGAAATCAAGTTAACACAGTGCATCGTTTCACTCAGAACATGACATACACATTAATCTCAATTCTGATATATTAAAAATAAATAAGATCATTAAAAATATTTGCGTTTTGTCATCATATGTCCTAAGAGCACAAAGAAAGCATAGGTTTGCTCGATTTGGCATAGCGTTCACCAAAAATAGGGTTGATCCCATTTCAGCCCCTTTGAACAAATTAAAACTTCACATTTAAAGATATTTTCGCTTTCGCAGTAGTGAAGTAGTTGTAAGGGCTGAAGCCATTAGATTTGCATTAGAAGCCTCCAATGAAGGTAGCGGAAAAAAGTGCATAGAAAAACAACTTTCACCAGCATATTCAAGTGTTCTGATTTTAGGGAAATGTATGACCATTGCACACGGCACGTCAGCTGACGTTTGAGGCATCTGCCTTCGCTTTAGTCAGAAAAAGTGGTTACGCAGACATGTCATGCCATTTGTGTACGATTGACCGATTTGATCTTAAACGAAATGCAATATAATGCAAATGTAACAGATGACTGCAAACTTGAGAACGGAAAACACTGCCATCTAAAGAAGCAAACAAAAAAAAAAAAAAAGTGCCATGTTGTGGCTCCGCATTTGGATGAAGATAAGTGGGAGGGGTTCTTGCACGTTCCTATGCTGTATAGTAGTGGCATGCTGTTATTGCTTTGCATGCACTCATATGATCATTCCACTCACGTCCATGCTTCGAACACATAAAAAAAAAGTAAAAAATTAAATAAATAGCCAGAACCAAAAAGAAACACCCCAACAGTAAAACCCACTTCCCACCTTGAGCACTGCCCAGTGGCACCAGTCTCATAGCTATATTATTTTGAAATGAACGTGTAGTTATATACGAACAGACAGACATACACACCAATGGAGACACAGATGAGATTGGCAGAGGCTTCTTTGTCTTTTGGCAAACTGCCACTCGATTCCAGTGGGTCAGTCAGGGTATGGCGCAGTGGCACAGTTTAGTCCTGGTGCCGTGATGCCCTGCCGTCAGCACACAACATCAGGGGCCTTAGAGTCCATCAGCAGGACCCCCTCAGTAATGACCGGGACTAGGATCAGGCAGGTGGCTCATTTCTGGGTGTTGTACATGGACTGGCTGGCTGCGAAATGCGTGGACTCTGAGGTGTTGACAGTGGAACTGGGCTGGATCAAAATAGGGACATTTGAGCCTACAAAAAAAATAATAAAAAAAGGATAGAAAAATAAATAATAAAATAATAAAGGACAGAATTAGGATCTAAATATCATGACTTTAATTGCTTTAGCAAAACTACAAAGCAATGATCGACCAATATGAGTTTTGGACAATGTCAAGATCAGAGTAGCCAATAAAATACAGATATGATCACATTATTTAATTATAATAAATATAATTATAGTACATATATAAAAAATTATATATATATATATATATATATTATGAAAAGAAAAAAGAATTTGCATTATCCATTGGCATGATTGTTGGTAATTTTTAAAACCACAAGAGAGAACTACCACTTCTGTTTAACATCCAAGTGGACGATCATCTCAAAATGGCCAAATATCAGCTAACATATCGGTCTACCAGTACTATAAAGTTGAAGTAAATTGTGTGCGGCATGCATTCATGCAGATAAATGCAGACTCTATTTGCCTTTCGTTTGCATGAAGCTATCACTTTTGAGGATTAGACAGCCAAAGGTATAGAACATGCAGCTTTACTGGAGATGCACTGCCAGTAGGTTTTGATGGTCTGAGGGATATGTGGGATTTCCTAGCAGGAAATATGAACACTAGGTCTACGCTGTTCTCTATAGTGAAGCACATCAGATGTTGTTTCCTTGGAATATGGCCAAAGCTGGTCACAGAGAGCTCCTTAGAGCTCTGCTCTAAGAAACGTACCTCCCTTCCCTGATGCAGCTCTTCTGAATCACCGCCGCACTAACGGACAGCATCCATGTGCAGCAAAGAATGAAAATAGAGGATTTCTTAATGAATTTATTCTTTGTATCCTAGCTATGCAAAAAAGTGCAAAAAAGAGAGAGAGAGAAAAAAAAAACGAAACAGTAATGGGATGGTGAAATAGAGGTGTGAGGTGAGATGAAGTTGACTTTGCTGAACAGATGGCTGTGTGACAGGCCAGCGGTGCCTCTGTATGAGACAGCCTGTGTTGATTGCATTTCTATCGATGAGATGCAGCTGCTTTGACAGCGTTGCTTCATGCTGACGCAACCTTCTCAACAGAAATCACATTTCCTGTTGACTCATCCTCACACTCACTGGCCTTCTAACATCCTCTAACATAGTGGTTTTAATGCTGGATAATAATAATACAAATTATTATTATTAGTTTTTGTGAATAATAATAAATAAAACAAAAGTAACAATGTTTTTACCTTGTGTAGCTTGGTAGATTGTTCTTTTGTTGGACTAAATTCCTAATCTAAATAAAGATCTACTTAAAACTGCATTGTAAGGCTAATACTAAATATTTCATAACACAATATTATACATGTATTTGTTTTTTTATTATTTCATATATATATACACTACAATTTAAAATGGCAGTTTTTACATAAATGCATCCTTCCTGAATAAAAATATTATTATTTTTTAACATTTATACTTCTAATGTAATTTTTTATAAATATATTTTTAATAATTAATACTAACAATTATTCTGTTATTATTGTTGATATATTATATATCATGATAGTTATTAACTTCTCAACTGTGTGGTTTGGCTCAATCATAAACTACAGGGTCAGATGTTGTCCTTCCACCTCCTGGTTAACAAACTCCAAAACCTACAGGAGGTTCAAAGTACTTGGCAGAAAAAGGCTTGGCCTGACAACATGCAAAACAAGGACATCCACAGCACGCACATGCAAAGCATTAGGTTCATGCATGGGCCTAGTAAAGCAAACATAACTCAAGATCTGTAACGCAGGTCACTGGCTTTGGGTTTCAGTTCGCTGCATAGTCTTTCAGTGCATGAAGTTCCTTAATAAGGAAAACATTTGATACTTAATGAGCTGAGAAGATACTAGCACCGTTTAATAAGCCTTAGTGAGGTTGCCAAGAGGCTGGGTCTTAATAAAAGTCTGAAAACCATATCCAATACCCAGTCTTCGTTAGAGCAAATGCTGCACAGTAATCCAAATGTTAGTGAAAGACAATGTGGTGAATCACAGACAAACACAGGGTTGTGTAGGTAGACAATCACAATGGAGTGACTCATGCTGTCGATGAACATTCAGACCCTTACAAGTCATTTTGTATCCGGTATAGATTCACTGCAGATTTCAGGACCAGGACTAGGTATAGGCTGGACAATAATTATTGTTTCACCTGTCGAGTAAAAGGGAAACCATTATCTTATATTACAGGTCACATGAAAGATTTTATTGTAATGTATTCTTCCACAGCTCTTAGGATGGCCAAAAAATTGGTTTATACTAGGGATGTTAATTTTAACCGGTTAACCGTTAACTGATCGTAAGAATTTTTGACCAATTAATACAATCAGTTAAACGTAAAACGTAAAAAGTAATTTATTTATTTTTTTTCAGTAATTTGTCAAAATATTTAAAAAGGTTTGCTGCATGGTTAAAATACGCTACGCGTATATAAAAAAATTGCGTTTTTTTAGAAAAAAATAAATAAGTCGCATTTTATTTCATTCAGAAATAGGCCTAATGCCGACGCGAAATGTTTACAAGCATTATAATAAACACTGTAAACATAGCTAGGCTATTTTAGTTCCCCTCACTCCACAACAAATCCTTTCAATTAACAGTATTTAGAAAAGAACAAGAATTAAAAATATAAGAAGCTATAGCAATATAAACGACAAGCCAAAACGAATTCATTTAGGCTAAAACGAAACTGAAACCAACGTTGAGTCTCTCATTCCACACAAAATCAAATGTTTCCATATTCGCGATGTATTTGAATAGCAAATTATTATTTACTATGTAGCCTACTTCACTCACGTTCCAATATCCA